CTGCCTCCTCACATTTTGACATTTTCAAGAAGTGTAATTTTTAAAAATTTCTTTTCTATGCAGGAACCCTAGTTCAGCCGTTAATTTTGTTTTCTTTTGAAAATTAGGGATTTGTTTTTAGCTAACATTTTTGAGTTAGCCTTTCATTTGCTACCGCTCACTTAGAATCTAATGCTTGTGTTGATACATTGCTATTTAATATTTTTTAACTGCATCAGATAAAGTATGGCTTTCTATTCCATATATATCAGAGCCAACCTGGGTATATATTAAAGGATTGTTTATTACATTCTGATGCCACCAAGGAAAACATGTTTTGTATCTTAGTCTTTTAATTCAAACTGGTTAGACTAATATATTTCACTGTCAGATTGAATTCCCTTGCCTAAAGATAAGTTTAAGAAGTTTTTTTTTTTGCAAATTACCTACTGAATCTTACTTAAAGCAGAATTTACATTGAATGTGCCAAGGAACTAAGTAGCCATACCTATCAGCAGTAATGTTCACAGGGCACTGGGTGTCTGCTGGAAAGAGCAGTTCTCAAACTTTTTGGTCTTAAGACCTTTTGTTTATGTGGGTTATATATATGATACTGAAAATAAATTATAAAATATTTATTCATTAAAAATAATAAGCACATGTTAATATAAAACCACATTTTATTGAAAATGCATTTTCTAAAAAATTCAGTGAGAAAAGTGGCATTGTATTCCATTTTTTGCAACTGTCTTTACCATCTGACTTAGAGAAGACAGATGGACTCTTGTATCTGCTTCAGCTTTCATTCTGTTGGATGTTGCACATCGTGTGGCCTCTGGTAAATGCTGCTGTATATTCACGAGAGAAGGCGGGGGCAAATAATGTCTTAGTTTGGTTATGAAAATAGTTTGACTTAGGGACCTCCTGCAAGAACCATTCTTACAAAGCAGTTTACAGTGATTCTCGAGTCTTAGTGGAAGAATCACTTGGGAAGCACTTCAGAGTATAGTTCCAAGCATCTGCCACGCACATTCTGATTCATGGTATCTGGGATGGGTCCCAGATCTCTGCATTTGTAATAGCTCAAGTGATTTTTAGGTATGTAGTAGAAGAACCATTCCTTCACTGTGCCTCCGCCCTAAGAAAATAAACCTGCGTGTTTCACCAGGAACAGTGGAAGACGACTCTCCACTCAAATGGGACTTCTGGACCTTTTACGTTTAATCCTCTTTCTCCCACGGTTGGTTCTTAGACTGTTTCCCTTTAACTCTTAATCATGGTATAAACCTGTGCTTCCTCTTCTCTAGGCAGCCTCTTCTGAGGCTGGAACATTTAAATGAGATTTTCATTAGAAGCTCATGAATAACAAAAGGGAAATACAGACAACTAGATGACCCGGTTGGTAAGCTACATCTTGTGTTCGGGTCCGGATGGAGACTGCTTCCTTTTCTAGCTCGCAGCCTTCCATATGGTAGAGGCTTATCTTTTTATCAGGAAGAGAGGAAGGGCAAAGGAGAACCTTTTCCTTTTGTCATTTACTTTCAGAAGTGAACAGATATATAATAGAAAGTACTGTCACTATGTTTACGACTGTAGTAGAGCCCACTCCAGTGAACTATAACGGTATTCTTAAAATGAGGGGATGGTAAAAATCAGTGAACTCTTTCAGATATAAAAGTAAGATGATTGTTAATATATTTTTCAAGAGTCTGTAAGAAGAAGTTTCCTATAGGCCTGTTATGAAGCTTTGTATAATTTAATTTGCATAGTCTATGTGATTCTCCATATATTTCTATAAAAGGGCTTCTCATTGGAAATACTTTCCTTGTACCTATTAGAAAAACCTTCTTTGTGGATTTTTCAGTTTTTAATTATCTGTCCAGAATATACATTGGAGGTTTTCTTGTGTGTACATGTAGAATATACCACAGTGAGAAATTCCTATGGAGAAAGACCCATCATCAGCAATACTTCATTTCTGTAACTGTGAACACCTTCGTTAATGTGAATAATATTCTCAGAGGTTTTCAAAATGAGAATCATCCGTTAAAGCTTTCTACCTTAAAAATAAAAAACTGAAAGGTTGTTAATTCAGTGTGTGGATTATGTAAAACATACTGATGTTAGAAAATATAAATTGAATTTGGCAAGGCAAGGGAAGGCAAACTTGAAAATAATCAAAACATTTTAGGTGTGGAATACAGTTTGACCTACGTAGTTGTTTCAAAACTCATCAGTCTCTTGAAAATCATTGTTTAGGCTGATACAAGAAATACATTTCTGGTTTTACGGATTCTGATTTAATAGTTAAATTAGTATGCATTATGCAGGCTGTAAAACTGGTCTTATTTTATTTTATAGACTTTTTTTCATTCAGAACACTTTTCCTTATATTTCGTTGTGTTGAAAATACGGTATTATGCATCTGTTTCAGTGCCTTATTTTGAAAGCAATCTTTGGCTAAAGAATGTTGTCTTAAGAATGAAGTAATAATTCATTAAAAGGATCTGTGAAATAATCTACAGTTGCTTCTTACACAGTAGTTGCATCTGGGTGTATTTGTTACTTTTATTTGGCACTGGCAAAGTCATTCAGTTTGAGAATCAACATTTATTAGGTGCCTTCTGTTTGCCAGGTACTTTAATCGGTGTTACTTTCATTTAATCCTCAGAAATGTTAAAATGTGATATTTTTAATACTCAGAGGTAGGTTTTAAAAAAAAAAAAAAAAATTTGTGTCCTCAGTTGAATTAGGATGAAGACTCCATGGTAGGGTTTACTTCTTTGTTCTTTCTCTAAGTACAAACCATTTAATTAAGAAATTGCTCATCACGCTAATCTTGAGATAGAAGTAGCTTTTTCAATAAACTAATATCTGGCTCTTTGTCATTAGCTTTAAATATTTTTTTCACAGATAATTCACATTCTTTGTAGAAAATTGTAAAATGCTGAAATGATCTTTAAATCGCCTATTTCACCTTTCAAATAATATAACCACTAATATTTTGGTGTGCATCCTTTCAGGTATTTTTAAGTGAATCAGTTTTATATTAATTAAAAGACTTCTTGGTTATTGCAATGCTGTTTTATATGTTGAAGTCTAACATACTTGTCTTTAACTAAAAATTACATTCAGAACATGCAATCACTTTAACTAGAATAATGGCTGTTAGGGACAGATGCCTTTAAATTACATTTTTGTGCAGAAGCCAAAAAAATGCAGGGTTTCTTCTTTTACTTTTTTTCTTTCAAAATTAAAATTATGGTAGTATATGCAGCAAAGTACAGATATTGGGAATGAAGTGCTTCCAGACCTAAAAATGCTATCAAATGATGTATGTAAAAGTAGATTATCCAAAGAAACTGCAGCTTGAGTTTATTTAAGTTTCCAAGGAATTAAATATTTAACACATGCATTATCTAAGTATCCTTCCACAATCAAGAAAACGGAAGGTACCCATTTTGTAGGTTAAAGAATTGAGGCATATATGCAGTATATACAAATACTGAATCAACCTGAAACTAGTATACTGTTACATGTCAGTTATACCTCTAATAGAAAAAAGAATTGAGGCATAGAAAATGAATGATTTTAGACTGGGTAGTATATACTTCAGGATTACATTTATCTGTGACAGAAAAATCTAAAATAATAGTGACTTACAAAACAAAACTTTATTTCCATGCAAAAGTCCATAGGGAAGCAGTTCAAGACTGGGAGATCAACTTCATAAAACTTCAGACTCCTGTGCTGTTAATCTGCTGATGCCAGCACTTAACCTCAGGCCACAAGAGAGCTGCTTTAGCACCAGTCACATCTGCGTTCCATCTGATGGAAAGAAGCACACACACCTTTACTTTTAAAAGCAGAAAAACGAAACAAAAAAAAAAAAAAATGGCTTTATTGGGATGTAATTCACATACCTTACCATTCACCCAATTAAAGTATACAATTCAGTGGTTTTAGTATAGACACAGAATTGTGCAACCACCACCACAGTCTAACTTTAGAATATTTTCATCCTGTCTTCAACCCTGTACTCACTCATTAGTCAGTCTCTACCCAAAGTCCTAGGCAACTGCAAATCTACATTCTCTGCAGATTTACCTATACTGGACATTGCATATAAATGGAAGCATACAGTACATGATTTTTCCATCTTCTCATTTAAGGTTTCCCAAGTTCACCCATGTTCTTTTTTGGAATAATAGTCCATTGTATGGATATATACCTACCACACTTTATCCATCAGTTGATGGACATTTGGGTTTCACTTTGGGTTACAAGTAATGTGGCTATGAACATTTGTGTTCACGTTTTTGTGTGAACGTGTTTTTTTTCTGGAGTATATACTTAGGAAGAATTGCTGAGTCATTGGGTGATTCCAGGTTTAACTTTTTGAAGAGCCGGATTTCCATAGTGCCTCCACCGGTTAACATATCCACCAGCAAGGTGTCATTTCTCCACACCCTCCCTGATGCTTGTTCCTGTCGGCTTTTTTAATCTAGCCATCCAGTGGTGTGGCATCTTGCAGCTTTGTATTTCCTTAATGACCTAAGAATCTTCTCATGTGTTCATTGTATTTGGAGAAATACCTATAGAAATCCTCCCATTTTACAATTAGGTTGTCTTTTATTGTTGAATTTTAAGAATTCTTTATATATTCCAGTACCAGTCTATGATTTGCAGATAATGCTCCCATTCAGTGGGTTATCTTTTCAGTTGTTGGATGGTTTGCTGCACAAAATTTCTCATTTAGATAGTCCAACTTACGATGTCCTAACAACAGTTGTCTAACCCAAGGTTATGATTTGCTCGTTTTCTTCGAGGTGTTTTATAGTTTTAGCCTTTACACTTAGGTCTGTGGTGCATTTTCGGTTACTTTTTGTGTGCGATGTGACCCCTTACCTTTGAGGGGGGGACTTCTCTGGCCAACTGCCTCCACACTGCTCTGCTTCCGTTCACCGGCCCGAGTTACGTGGCTACACCCATCTCATCTGCGCGAGGCTGGACAATGTATCAAATGTAGACTGTAAACCTTTTCGGCCATAGTCCTAAACAAGTCAATTCTATTGCTTCGCTTTTCAAATAAATGGATCTGGCGATTTTTCACCCGCGAGGATTTAGCAGGGTGACCAGCGCGAACGGGCGCTGGTTCTCACTCCCTCCGGGACCTGCTCCTAGGACTGCAGTCCCGAGGGACTTACCGGCCTTCGCCCCCTACGTACCCCAGCCCCCAGCGAGTTTGGGCTCTCGGGGGAAACGAACCGGCGCCCTTCGCGTCTTCCCGCTGGCTCCCGCGGCCCGCCCCTCGCCGCGCCGCGCCGCGCCCACTCGGCCCCCGGAGCCGCCCTCCGCGCGGGAGCCGGGGCGCCCGCCGGGCGATAACGCCGCAGGGCCGCGGCAGCGGTTGGAGCTGCCGTGCGCCATGGCCGCGTCCCCCGGAGCGCCCCGGGCCCCCGCCGTCGAGGCGCAGCCGCCCCAGCCGGACGCGCGCACCTTGGACCGCGGCTCGGTGAGCGCAGAGCGAGGGGGGAGCCGGGGCTGCGCGAGGGAGGTGGCGGGAAGGGGCGCCGGCCCCGGCGTTCAGGCTTCTGAGCCCCCCTAGTAGAGCCGAAAGGCCGAGATACTCGGGAGCACCAAAGAGAACAGGGAAACCGAGTCCCAGACTATTGAGGTAACCTGCTGCATTGAGTCAGCTAGGCTGGCAGGACGGGGCCAGTCTCTGGTCTCCTGATTCTCAAATTAGGGCTCTTGCCCGCCACAGTCCAGGTCTTCCCAGAGCTCTCTGGCCCCCGGGCAGGTAGGACTTCCCGCAGCGTGTGGGGGGCCGCCTCCCCTCCCCAGTCTCCGAGAGCAGCCTGGCCCCGGGCTCGCTGGAGACTGTCCGCAAGACGACTTCTGGCAAGTAGGCCCCCCAGTGAGGGAGGAGGGCAGGTGGGAAGCCGGGGGTGTCCTCAGGCCGTCCTCACCCCTGCGTGGATGGGGCTGTGTCCAAGAGGGGGCAGGACCCAGGAGCTTCGTGGGGACAAAGCTCCATCGCTTGCTCCATGCTCAGCGCGACCGTGGTCTGTGGCTTCACTTCAGCCCCTCAGTTCTCACCCTTAACTCAGTGCTTCCTGTCAGACACCTCAGAGTAAAGGCCCGTGGCCCCCAAGAAAGAAAGGGAGATAGGGAGGCCCCCTGGGGACCCTCCTTTCCCAGGGAGATTTAGAAATTCAGGAGGAGATGAATGGCAGGAGGGAAAACCGACCTTGGCCAAAGAAGCGCCAGCATTTAGTTCTCATAACGACCTTCTCCGCATCTTTCACCCCATTTTACATGGGAGGAAATGAAGCCCAGTCCCGCTGAAGTGCCCTAGAAGTACCTTCTAGTAGGGCTAAAAGTGGCACACAGAATTTGAATCCCAGTTAGTCCAATGCTAAAACTTGTGCTCGGTTAACTGCGAAAGACTTAAGAAGTTCAAGTAGGTGAAACTGCTGTCCACAGGGCTCCAAGAGTAGTTTCAGCCGGAAGTTCTCTTTCAAGTGACTTGTGTGTGCCAGAAGCTTGCTAGGAGGGTTGGGGGGAGGGGGGCAGAGGCACAGGGGGTGCTGTGGGGTTATCATATCGGATTCTGCCTCTTACTAACAATTTCTGGAAGTTGAAATAATGTTCACACAAGCGTCAGAAAAGGAGAGGACATCCTGCCTCGTGTGTGGTTTTCTTCCGTGGGTAGGGAGAGTGTGCAAAGGATATGATAAACCATTATCTGGCAAGAACCTCCCTTCAGAAGTGCCCATGTGGGGTGTCCTGCAAGATACTAAAATGGGTGAAGTCATAGTCCTCTCCACTCTCCCTCCCATCCCCAAGCAAAGGATCAAAAGGAAGGATTCCCAGCATCTTTTGAAGAAACAGCCTTTTCCCTAGTCTTCATGACATTGATTTCTTCAACAAATGTATATAGCATCTGCTATATACCAGACATGGTTCCAGGTAATGGGGACATGGTGGTGAATAAAAATTATAGCGCATGCTCTCAGAGAGTTTACGTTCTCTTGGGAGAGGCAGGAAATAAATGAGAATGTATCAGGTATTAGGTACACTAGAGAGAGAGTTGGGTAGTCAGGGAAGGCCTCTGTGAGGAGATGACATTCAGGCTTGAATGGCAAGGAGTCAGCTCTGCAAAGACTGAGAGGAAGAGCCCTCTAAACAGAAGCAACAGAAAGTGCAAAGGCCCTGAGGCAGCAACAGGCATGTTGGTATTGAGGCATAGCAAGGAAGGTACCAAGGTTGAGGAGAGCTGTCTGAAGTGAGGTGGGAAAGGGGCTGGGGGCTGTTTGGGTGGGCTAGATGGGAAGGACTTGGAATTGTATTCAAACTGCAGTGGCAAGCTGCAGTTGGAGAGTTTTAAGCAGAGATGAGACAGGATAAAATTTATGTTATAGAAAGATCACCTTAGCTGCTGGATAGAGTGTGGACGGTGGGGAATGAGCAGAAGCTGGGAAGCCACTTAGGAGGCCACTGATAGATTTGGTGAGGGAATTGGGAAAGAGAAATCAAGGTTTGTGGCCTGAGCTGCTGAGTGGACATTGGACATTGGGGCCATTTAATGCAATAGGGACAATGGAAATCAGCAGCTGTGTTTTGACCATGCTAAGCTGAAATGCCTGGTAGGCAACCATGTGGGTCTGTTAGTAGGCAGTCGAATATTCCAGTCTGGAGTTCACTGGATAGCTTAGGGCTTATGAGATATGTATCTGTCTCACGCACACGCACACATGCACTCACATGCACACACACACCACTTGGAGTCATGAACATTACTTTATTTCAGTGGTGGGCTAGTAAACAGTCTCCCCAGGAAAATAAAGAAAGCAACTCTGATTTGTAGTGTTTGCTGATTCCTGTGGTATAAATTCACCAGAGCTGATTTCAGGCTGCCAGTGGTTCGAGGACTGGCCAAGGTCCTGGACATTTAACCATCAGCTCCTGCAGCAAATAACACTCAGCTTCATCAAGACACCTCTTGAAACTGTCAGGAATACTGTGTTTGACACAGAAGGCTTCAGGAGATACAGTGCTTTATTCAACGTCACACCGGGAGTTGGTAGCAAAGTTGGGAGCCTCCTGACCCCCCTGTTCACTCTGGTTTGCTGACTCAAGAGAACAAAGCAGACTGCAGGAGGAAGCACTAAGAGGGGAAAAGGAAGAACTTGTCCCGTGGAATGTGGGATCTTTGAGAGGTCATAGCTTAGGATTTTTTCCCCCTCTCTGTCTCACTTCCCTTTACGATGATCTAGGGCAAATGAGGACTGAGAGGTTTCTGGAGGAGCCCTCAAGACAAAGGGACCTCAGGATGCTTATGGAGGCTCAGGAGGGTACGGGCGACTGTTGTGTATCTGTGCAGGCTGGGGGCTTAGCTCCTCTGTTCCCCCCCAGGACAGCAGAGCCGGTCAGCTCTCATTCTGTACCAAGGTGTGCTATGGCATTGGTGGGATCCCCAACCAGGTGGCCTCCAGTGCCACAGCCTTTTACCTGCAACTGTTCCTGCTTGATGTGGCACAGGTGAGTGTGGGAAGCAGCCCAGGGCCCCCTATTCCCATCTTCCTTGGTACCCAGTTCTCCCTCCCCGACCTGTACTACCCTGGATAGATGGCACTTCTTTCCCCAAACTGACAGTAAGTCAAATGCCTTTGAGGGCAGCCCCCTTAAGGATGTTTACTGCAGGCTGTTTGTGGTGAGAAATGGGGAAACTATGAATGCCCAACAATATAGAAGTAGTTGATTAATAAGTTGGGTAAGAGCCACATAATGGACAGTTGTGTAGTCATTCAAAAGGAAGAGCTAGTCTGTACCAGGTGGCTTGGAGGGAGTTGCATGATGCACTGTCAAGTGAGAAAAGTTGCCTTTACAGTATGCAAATTGATTCTATTTTACCAAAATAAAGACATGCCCCATATATATAGGTACATGGGTATGTGAAATATGTGACTATATGTGGTTCAGATACAGGCATGAAGAAAATAAATTACAAATAAATTACAGAAGGACATACACAGGCTGTTACTGTTGCCTATAGGAGGGAATGGTGGAGGATAGAGAGTAAGCAGAAGGAAAGATTTCTCATACTGTACCCATGATTTTGTTAAATGACACTCATATGATCTCATTTATGTAAAATTATAAATTATGAATGCACAGAAATAAATGCCTGAAAGGGTGATCACCAGAATGCTCTGGCAGTTATCTCAGGATGGGGAGACTTCAAAGGAGTTTTGCTCAATATTTTTCTGTACTGCTTGAATGTTATTTTATAATGAGTGTGTCATTTATGTAATCAGAAAAATTAATAAAACATTGTCACTGTGAAACAAAAAGTCTACCTCTGTCACCCTTCTTGTACAGATGAGGGTCCCCAAGCCTTCTCCAAAAGCGACTGGGCAAGAGTGGTAATGGGAATGTGTGGTAATGTGTGGCTGTCGGCTCCTCCCCTCCCCCTCTCTTCACTAGCGCAGCTGTGCCCTGAGAACCTTCTGGATTTGTAGACAGGGAAAGAGACCTCACAGACCTTTCTCCTGGGAGGTAGGCAGGCCCAGACACCCTCTCTGACTCTGCCAGGACTCGGCCATCCTCCCACCTGTGCTTTTCAGATCCCTGCTGCCCAGGTGTCACTTGTCCTATTTGGAGGGAAGGTGTCTGGGGCAGCTGCCGACCCTGTGGCTGGGTTCTTCATCAACAGAAGCAGGAGGACAGGGTCTGGACGCCTCATGCCCTGGTGAGCTGCCCCATAATCCTCAGGGTCCTGGCTTCCAACCCTGGCCTGAGGCCACTGGGTTTGTGACAGCCCCGCTTCTTAGTGGAAACCCGTGTGGATGGTGAGAGGATCGGATGGTTCTAGGTGGCGGCGCCGGACTAGGTTAGGCTGAGCCAGGGAGGAGTTCAGAGACATTCCTGGGGACTCTCCGTCACCACGAGGCACAGGGCTGGACAAAGCCTTGTAGGCTCCCGGGCCTGACTAGGGGGTCTATGTGTAGCCAGGGTGGGCTGGAGGCCTTGGAAGTCCTCATGGAGGATAGGCCTCGCTGGTGCTCCAGGGTCCTGGAGACTGGGAATGGCAAGGCCAACCCCCAAATGCCTCCCGAGTTCTGCAGTGAATGGCCCCAAACCCCCAGCTACCGCCACAGCCCATCAGCCACCTCTCCCTCTCCTCCTCCGCGGTGGGCACACTGGTAGTCCCAGCCCAGGGCTCCTGTTGGGGGCGGATGACTTCTTCACCCAGAAGGGTGTGGTGCTTCCAGGTTTGCCCTTCACAGGCCTCATCCCGCTGCCCCACCTCCGCTGTGCTTCCACAGGGTGCTGGGCTGCACGCCCTTCATCACCGTGGCCTACTTCCTCCTGTGGTTCCTGCCCCCCTTCACCAGCCTGCGGGGCCTCTGGTACACGGGCTGCTACTGCCTGTTCCAGGCCCTGGCCACGGTAAGCCGGGGGCCCCGCTGCTGGTCAGTGGCCACCGTGAGGTGTTGTGTGGAGGGGAGAGGGTAGGTGGCCCCGAGGGACCCACTGCCCGCCGCGGCTCACCCCTCCCGCCCTCCGCCCCTTACTCTGGGTTCGGGGGATCCTCCCAGACGTGCCAGCCGGGGTCGTCGGGGTTGGGCCTGGGGGCGGCGGGGGCCAGCCTGAGCCCGGCCTGGGCGACCGCAGTTCTTCCAGGTGCCCTACGCGGCGCTCACCATGCTCCTGACCCCGTGCCCGAGGGAGCGGGACTCGGCCACCGCGTACCGTGAGTGCGGGGCGTGCGCGCGGGCGGGAGGCCGCGGACCCCGGGCCCGCCAGCGCGCGTCACTCGGCGCCGCTCTGTCCCAGGGATGACCATGGAGATGGCGGGGACGCTGATGGGAGCCGCCGTCCACGGGCTCATCGTGTCGGGCGCCCACGGGCCGCACAGGTGCGAGGACGTCGCGCTCGCCGGGCCGGCCGTCGTCTCCCCCGACGCGGTGAGTGTCCCTGCGGCCCGGCCTCTGGGCGTCGCTCGCCTCTCCCGCCCTCCCGCTTCTCCAGCCGGTGCCCCCGCGGCCCGCGGCCCGCTCACCCCGCTTCTCCGCCCGAGCGCCTTCTCATTGGAAAGCAGCAGATCGCAGAGCAGCAGGAGGGGAGAGGGGTGGGAAAGGGCCACAGGCAGGGGATAGGGGAGAGGGGCTGGCGTCCCTGCGGCGCTCGGGGTGACACCCCTCCTGTGGCCGGTCCCATCCCGCCCTCACCCGCAGTGTGCACGGAGAAGGGGAAACCTGAAAGCAGTTTCCCTTCGTCTCCCCGCAAACCAGATCTCTCCTCAGCAGCTAAGTCCGCGCATCTGTTATCCATCCAGTTCCGCTCTTCTTCCCTTAAGCAAGTGATGTGATTGTCCCCGGAGCCCCGGGAGCCAACATTTACTCCTTCCTCTCCAGCCATGACCCCCCACTCCCACCCATTACCAAATCCCATGCGTGTGTTCGGCCCCAGGTCTTCTGCACCTGGCCTCCCCAGCATCTCCCGGTCACCCCAGTACTGCATCAGCCTCCCACGGAGTACCGCAGCCTCCAGCGACACCCCCAGCCGGGTCAGGGTGACATTGGAAAGGAGTTCCATCGTGGGCGGGCCCCACCTTCAGGACCCAGCCTGGGCTGGCTTCGGTTTGTGGCCTCTCCTCAGTGTTCCCTGCATCATTCTTGTCATTTAGGAAATAGCTCAGATTCACAAAAAATTATCCAGCTGCGGTTCTCCAAGTGTGGTTGCTGGACAGCAAGCAGCCTCAGCATCACCTGGAAACTTGTTAGAAGGGCAGATTCTTGGGGCCCTGCCTAGAACTCCTGATTGACAAATTTGGGGAGGGAGCTAGCAGTCTGTGTTGTTCTGAACAAGCCTTCCGGGGGATTCTGACCCCCACGGCGTTTGAGAATCGGTGGTATGAGAACAATACCACACCAGGGGCCCCGCACGGGCTCAAGAAAACATTACAGTGGAGTCCTGTGTATCCATCCCAGCCCTCTCCTCAAGGCCAGCTACAAAATTGGCCCATGAACACTGCAAAGTGCAAACACAGGGCTCTGGAAAGAGCAGGGACGTCTGTCTGTCCTTCCCATGGCCCACTGCCCTAACCAAGGGATTGCTTGAGTCGAGATGTGTAACTGATCCCACCCAGGTGCCCTCAGACCCATCATGGAGGCCGGCCCAGGACCAGAAGGTGGTGGCTTGCCCCTCCCAGACTAACTTTTTCCACGTGTTTGCCCATGTCCCCGCTCAGGCCTCCACAGGCCTCCTCCCCAAAGGTACTGGGTCGCTCTCTGGGTGGGGGTGACAGTGGCCTTGGGTTGGCCTGGCCTGGCCTGGAGTGCAAAGGAATGGGTAGCAGGAGGCTGAGAAGGCCACCCCTAGAGGTGGAGCCTCGTGTGAGCCAAGGCACAAAGCTCCAGGTACCCTGGTGAGGTCCTGTCCACCTCCTTCTTTCTTCCCCTCCCCAGAGACAACCTCAGCCTGAGCAGGTGACTGTTACTCCCATGCATGTCTTTACATGGATTTTATCACTTATGTATCTTCCCCTGGACAGCAGGTAGCACCATTTCTGTTTTCACCATTTATCTGGGTTCTCGTGTCTCACGCTATGCTGTAGCTTTCTGATCGTGCGTCTGTCTTCCGCATTTTAAGCCCCTTACAGGGGATGGACAGGAGTTAAGCCAATGTTTGCCTTAAAAAGTGAGAGCAAAAGAGAGAGGAAGGGCGCCGACCCCTGGTGGCATGGATGCCCTCCTGTTCATGCAAGAGGCACAGAGGCAGCAGAAGGACCATTCTGGGCCCCAACATCTCTGTCTCCTGCTCTGGTGATTGGGAGGAGAGACACCCAGCATCCTTGGGCTTGGACTAAAGGTCCCTCTGCCCCACTGGGAAACACTCCTGTCCTGGGTGTCCCCACTTCCGTAGGTTGGAGACATCACCCCCAGCCCAGTTCTGTCCTGTCCCACAGACTCGTCTCTACTCCATTGCAGCCGCCGTGCTTGCTCTGACTTACCCTGTGTGCACTAGTTTGCTCTGCCTCGGGGTGAAGGAGCGACCAGGTAAGGGGGTGCAGCCGGACCGTGGGAAGCCGAAGCTGGGACAGGATTCCTCTTGGGCCTGCGTTTTGGTTTTAGACTCTGCCAAGCCCAAGTGTTGTCTTCCTGTGTTGCAGACTCCTCCGGCCCAGCCTCAGGCCAAGGCCTGAACTTCCTGGCTGGGCTGGGCCTCACTGTCCGGCACCGGCCCTACCTGAAGCTGGTGATCTCCTTCCTGTTCATCTCAGCAGCCATTCAGGTACCTCTGGCCTTGGCTCTGGCCATACTGACCCTGTGAAGGTTCAGGTACAGTCTCTCGGCCCCACCGACCAGAGTTGGGCTTAAATCGAGAGAAATGGTGGCTGGCACAGGTTCCAGAGAGTCTGGTGCAGGGAGGAGAGAGACCTAGACAGAACTTGTGGGACCAGGGAGAGGGTCAAGGCTAGGCAGTAGGAAGCTGACAAAATCTGGGTAGTAAGTTCCACTAGCCGGGCAAGGGGGAGGATGGACTAGGAATGGTATTTATACCTGTTTCGGGGCTGAGTGTCCTTTGTGGGGGAGGGGACTGCATGTTGCATGATGATAGCAACAACTGGTGTTTGAGGTCTCAAAGAAGAGGCCAGATTTGCGACCCAGGCCTTCTGAATTCCTGCCATTCCCGAGACACGCCCACTTGCTGTTGGCCTCCTCAGGTGGAGCAGAGCTACCTGGTCCTGTTCTGTACACACGCCTCCCGGCTACATGATCACGTCCAGGGTGTGGTGCTGACCATCCTGGTGAGTGGTCCTGGGGTGATAGAGACAAGCTCCCGCAGAGACCTGAGTCGGGGACCTGGTGTGGTTCTTGACAAGACATGTGTAGCCAGAATTCCAGTCAACATTCTGGACTCCTCTGTGATCTTGGTCACCTGCACTCCAGCAGAAGGTGGGATAGAGACTGGGATCATAAAGTTCATAGCCACTGGTTCCAACCAGGGGGCAAAGTCAAGGTCAAGCATCCCACCTAAAAGCCAGGGCTTCCAGAAGCTGGGTGGGTTAAGGCATTGGCAGCCCCGCCCAGGCTGGGATGATTTCTCTCTGTTCACAGGTCTCAGCTGTGCTGAGCACCCCACTGTGGGAGTGGGTTCTACAGCGATTTGGGAAGAAGACATCAGCCTTCGGGATCTGTGTGAGTGAGATAAGAAGCAAGGCCTGGAGTGGGTGCAGGAAGGTGTCAGGGTCAGGGAGGTGGCCTTGGAGCCTGAGCTTCCTGGGGGCCGGCAGGGCTGATCTGTACTCTCTTGTGTCTTCAGTCCCTTGGAAAGGACCAGATGCAGGGGCTAGTAGTAAAGACTGGTGAGTGTGGGAATGATAGAGCCAGTCAGGGACAGGTGGAAGGATCAGCTGGTGCATCTGTCTCCACAGATGATGGTGCCTTTTGCAATCCTGTTGGCTGCTGTACCCACAGCACCTGTGGCATATGTGGTGGCTTTTGTGTCTGGCCTGAGCATTGCTGTGTCCTTGCTGCTACCCTGGTAGGCTGGGTGAAGGGGAAGGGATGTGTCCATCCTCACGGGTATGCCCTCTTTCACGTTCACATGTCGTCCCAGGCCCCCTGTGCCCAGCCTGTGCTAGGGAGGGGCTCTCCTACCTGCAGGAGATGGAGGCCACCAGTTCCGTCCTTGGAGCTCTCCTGGAAGGGCACTGGATGGCAGGAAGTGTGGGCAGCTGTGTTGGGGGAGGGAGCTGAAACGCAAGCACCTGTGGCCAGGCTCTCCGTGGGCCAGTCCTGGTCCTGGGCAGCAGGAACCCAAGGATGAATCTGACTTGGTCTCTGTCCTCAGAGAGCTCTCAGGCTGGTGGCTTCAAGGGGATAAAAGGGATAACCCTGCAGCCCTCTCCCGCAGGTCCATGCTTCCAGATGTGGTGGATGCCTTCCAGCAGCAGCATCAGCATGGCCCGGGCCTGGAGACCATCTTCTACTCATCCTATGTCTTCTTCACCAAGCTTTCTGGCGCAGGCGCCCTGGGCATCTCCACTCTCAGTCTGGAGTGAGTCCCAGGGTCGGGCTATATTAGAGGCACAAACACTGAGCGGGGTGGGAAGAGTGCGGCAGAGTTCTCAGTTCCATCGGTGCTCCCTGGCCAGCCCAACTCTCCCTTCCATCATTGTTAAGCTGATCTGGCTGGGGAACGACTCCTAGATTCAGGGTGGTGTGGGGGTGGAGTATCGGGGAGCCCTCCTTCCAGGTCCGGTGGGATCAGAGCTGGAGGCGGGGGGATGCTGTTTCTCCAGGTTTGCAGGCTACGAGGCAGGAGCCTGCACGCAGGCGGAGCGGGTGGTGGTGACCCTCAAGGTCCTCATCGGGGCCGTGCCCACCTGCATGATCATCACCGGTCTGTGCATCCTCATGGTGGGCCCCACACCAAAGGTGCCGAGCCAGGACCCCTCCCGCCGGCAGAGCCTTCAGAGGTGGGCACCCCACGCACATGGGTACACACGGCGGGGTACCAGCAGCCAGGCGCGCACGAACGTGTGTCAGCGTGAGACTAACAGGCCCACCGTTGTCCCTGAGACATTTACGAGGTCGAACACTCCCACCCTTGCAGGCTCTTCCCACAGACTCGTCACTCTTCAGTGATGCCATATGCTCCTGGATTTTTTTTTTTTTAAGATTTATTTAGTTATTTTTTCAGAGAGAGTGAGGGAGAGCATGAGTTGGGTGGGGGGCAGAGAGAGAGGATGAGAAGCAGACTCCCCGTGGAGCAAGGAACCCCATACGGGGCTTGATCTCATGACCCTGAGATCATGACGTGAGCTGAAACTGATTGATCCACCTGGTTGTCCCTGCTCCTGGACTTTCCTTTTTTTAAAGATTTTATTTATTCATTTGTCAGAGAGAGCGAAGAGAGAAAGAGAGAGAGAGCATAAGCACAGGGAGCAGCAGACAGGGGGAGAAGCAGACTCCCAGCTGCTGAATTCTGTCCTAGGACTCCAGGATCATGACCTGAGCCGAAGGTGGTTGCTTAACTGACTGAGCCACCAGGGCAACTGAGACACCTAGGCGTCCCCTCTTTTTTTTTTTCTCCAGCTACTCTGCACATCCCTTCTTAGTCTCCCTCCCTCGATTATCTGTTGGATGCGGTATGGAAGGGCTCCCTCCTCGGCCCCTGCTCCCTTTGCTCTCCATAATGCAGGCACCTGGTCCCCGAGCCTGATCTGGAGCCCTCTTATGCCTGGTGACTCCTAAAGCTGCCCCTCCCGCCGGACTTCCTACAGGTTCCAGATCCACATGTCTGGCTCTCATTTGCACTCACCCCCTGATGTCCCACAAGCATGGTGTCAGTTTCAAAGAGCCCCAAACTACTGAACTCATCTTCTTTCCGAGTGGGGCTCCTCCCCCTGTGACGGCACCATCCTCTCCCCTGAAAGCCGAAAGCCGGGTCCTCTTCTACACTTTGCCCCGCAGGTTGTGCTGAGTCACACTCTGAACCTTGTTCTTCTGGCTTCCAGGGCACTGATCCCACGGCACAGGGATGAGAGGCCTACTGGCTTTCCCAGGGGCTGTGGGGATCTTGAAACTGGGGCTGTGTTTTATTCGTTTCTGCCTGCCCGGCCCAGCCCAGCACAGAGGCCGAGGCCACGCCGGGGCCGCAGTGTCAAGACGTCTGGCTTGGCAGCTTTCAAGAGCATGTGGCCGCCTGCTTGGAGATGCTCCCACACCCACAAACACCAGCACACGCCCACACAGAGGAACACAGGGGGTCGGCAGGAAGTGGCACTGACGTCGGTCCCTCATTCTCCGCGTGGATGCTCAGACTGGCCAAGTAACACACGTCCACAGGGGTCTGTGGCCCGACATGGTCCCCCTCCACCCTCATCCATCTCTTTGGTTTCTTTCCCTTTTCCAGGAGGACCAGCTACAGCCTCGCTTGAGGTCTGACCTCGTGTGGGCTGGAACCGCAGGAGCCAGTGTCTTCCGGGCTCAAAGTCCTTCTTTCTTCTCGGTCCCTTAGCACGCCCATTTCAAGGGTTACATGTGACCCATCTTTCCCCCGGGATATGGAGTTTCAGGGACATCTCCTGAAGGGACTGGCCTGGGCCCCAGGACCCTCACCCACCACTTCTTGCTTGTTGACCACAGACTGTATCCGATAGGCCTGTGCCCCAGACCACCCAGCTCCTGGTGACTCTGACCTGGAAAGCATCCCGAGAACAACTATTCCTGGAAAAAGGAAGGCCCACCCCCTGCTCACCTGACAGGACAGACACACAGACGTCTTGTTCTTCCTGACACCCCAGTGGACACCTGAGAGGGAGGCTGACAGATACCACATGAACGGGCAGAGTGGGACAGAGGGACTTGTTGGGGATGACGTCAGGAAAGACGCAAATAGAGACACTGAGACCAACAGACCCCAGAAGGAGCAAATGGGGACAGCAGCGGGGGAGGAGACCGAGCAGAGCACAAGAGGCGTTTCTCAAGGCTTTCGGGTCGTTCAGATAAGCCGGCAACAGTTTCTGGAATCAGACACAGACTGAGCTACCAAACATCAATCACCTTTATGAACAAAAGTTATTTTTGTGGAAATATTTTTCTGAAATTGTATCTTATAAAAGCACAAGAACCACAGTTTTCTAAAGGCCATATCTTTGGGGGACGAAAGATCCACCGAGGTTTATTTTTAAAATACATATATCTATTAAAGGCTTTATCTTCTACTAGGTCTATAAAATATGACTATGGCCATCCCTTTCATCCCACCTCCTGGGAAACCACTGCCCAAGGAGGGAAGGGAGAGGATGCCTGATGTCACTGCACCTGGCTATCCAGTCCCCTGCTCTGTCCCCTCCATGGGGTCAGCTCTCCGGAGCTTCCCGCAAAGGCTAGCCCCCCTCCCACTTCCTCATTAGACCTTTGGCTGCCTCTTAGTTCCAGACTCTCGCCTAAGACTGTCAGAGCTCAGACTCACACTCAGACGGGATGTACCCCTCAAAGCATGAAACATCTTGCTTCCTCTGCAAACACCATAGCCCAAGAAGGAACCTGACTTCCGAGTGAGAGTGCACAGTGTGACCTGCTCTGTATGACGCTTGAACTCTCTGCCGTCGTGCCCCTGACATGGGTATCTGATCCTTGAGGTCACAGGGCATCAGGGAAAGAGCTGGGCCAGCTTCTCTTCATTGCCCATCTGACTTAGGAACGGGCTGACAGGAAGCTCTGCTCCCTCCTGGCTGTGCGTGGCACACGCACGCACGCACACACACACAACAGTTTCTCAACAGTGGAAAATCACGGGCTGCGAGGACACAGCACCTGCTAAGACAGAAGGTGACATAAAGTTTCTACCATGTTACAGTGCTGTGCTTTGGAAACATGAGCGATGCAGGTAGGATGAGAAGCTTGTGCCAAATTCTATGTTACCTGTTTCCCAGGAGTGTAATCTCAAGGAGCTAAAGTATACTGTCCCAATACAGCTGCAGGGGGCCACCTCTGGGGTCAGGGGTTAGATCTTAGAGACAGCAGGGGATGAGGGGGAGCCCCAAATGTATTATTCCACTTCTCCTTTTCAGCAGCCCTAAGAAGCAGGTGTATTATTCTCATTTTCAGATGAGGAAAAAGGCTCAGAGAGATTGAGTAACTTGCCTAAGATCAGCTGGTGGCAGCAATGGCCTTGAAACTAAGTGGGCCTGACTCCACAGCCTGTGGAGATAGCGGGTACTGAACACATTTGTTGGAGGAACGGCCAATGCCCAGAGGCCAGCATCCCCTCCTCTGACCCTCTGCTCCAATCCCACAGTATTATCTCCACTGTTTGGGAATTATTATTCCTAATTCCGCCCATTCTTCCTACTCTGGGTCCTTCAACTCATGTATGCCCACGGAGCCTCCTGCTGTGTCCCCGACCCTCTTCTGACACCCATTCTCAGAGCCAGACCTCCTGTTTCAGAAAAGAGAGTGTCTCCTTGCCACCAAGGCCCACCCTGAGGCCTATCACTGACAAAGAGCAGGCATTTCCCTTGCCCCTTCCCTCTCTGCTTTTCTTTTTTTTTGATAGAGAAAGCGAGCGAGTACATGGGGGTGGGTTGGGTAGTGGGGCAGGGAGAAAGAATCCTAAGCAGGCTTCATGCCTAGCCCAGTGCAGAGCCCAGCGCAGGGCTTAATCCCACAACCCTGAGACCACGACCCGAGCCACAATTAAGAATCAGACACACAACAGACTGAGCCACTCAGGCGCCCCTACACCTCTCTCTTTCTAACCCTGAACTGTCTGCTGAACTTGAGAAGCCCCCTGAGGATTCTCCAGGAAGGGTGAAAACGTCCTCTGTCTAAAGCGGAATTCATCACCTCCCCACATCTGTTCTGCCACTTGCATTTTTGGGTAAATTACATCAGCATCTATCAAGTCACCGCAACCAAAAACTTGGTGTTTTCTTAATTTTCTTTCTCCCCCACTCACTCTACCATGCACTCCCCATGCACCCCAAGTGTGGATTAAGCAACGGGAGGAAAGGGTTGCAGCTTGAAGGTTATTATCAAATGGTAGAAGTTATTTGGAATGGGACAGAAAATTGTCCCCAGATATGGCTGGGTGTGGCTCTAACCCACGTGGCAACTGACAGAGGTGCCTGTGAGGTGTCTGAGTTGTGTCTGTGTGTCGGTTTGTGCACTCCTACAGGACTCCGTTCAGCTGGGTACAGATTTCCGTGTTCACCTGGTGTTCCTTTGGGACAACACTGGTACATAAGCAAGGAAATCATGTTACACTCTAATTGTTCCTTAATATAGTAACTGTGTTGGAGCGAATTTGTGTTTTCAAAACAAGCATTATAACAGAACTGATTGTATATGTGTGTGAGTGTAAACAACAGAAATCCTAAATGATCTCATAAACATTCAAGGAATGAAATATTTTAAAGTAGTCCCACAGGGGCGCCTGGGTGGCTCAGTGGGTTAAAGTAGTCCCACAAAGTAAATATGAGACCCAAATGATATTACCAAGGGCTATCAGACTTTCATAAAGGATCATTTCATTCCTTCTGGAAATTTTTTCAGGGAAGAAAAAAAAGCACAGATCCTGCAACTCATTATATCAGGCCAGAATAAGTTTGATACCAAAACCAGACAAGCAAAGTAAAAAAGAAAGGAAATTTACAGGCTGATCTTGAACACAGAACATGGAAGTAAGAATCTGAAGCAAAATATTAGTAAATGGAATCTGGCAATTTCTAAAAAAATAAATCCATCATGAACACACTGGGTTTGTTCTAAGAATGACAAGTTTGTTTCACATGAGAAAAATTTGTCAAGTGAAACCTCATTAACAGGTCAAAGGAGGAAAAAAGTTGTGTTCTCAATAGATACAGAATCATTTGATAAAAAGCTAATACCCACTCATGATAAAAGTACTAAGCAAACCAAGAGGAAAAGGAAATTTTTAAACCTGAGAAAGGATATCTACCAAAAACCTATAGTGAGCATCATTCTCAATAGTGAAATAGTCCCTTTAAAATCAGGAATAGGGGTGCCTGGGTAGCTCAGTGGGTTAAGCCTCTGTCTTTGGCTCAGGTCATGATCTCAGGGTCCTGGGATCGAGCCACACTTCAGACTCTCTGCTTGGCGGGAAGCCTGCTTCCCCCCGCCCTCTCTCTGCCTGCCTCTCTGCCTACTTGTGATCTCTCTCTCTCTCTCACTCTCTCTATCAAATAAATAAATAAAATCTTAAAAAAAAAAAAAGGAAGAAGCAAAATTGCCATTATTTGTAAATGATATGATTACCTACACAGAAAACCCAAGAATCTACAGATAAATTATTAGAATAAAGGAGTATAGCCAGATAGTTGGACATAAAATCAACAAGAACAAATTACATTTGTATATGCCCGCCACAGTTATAAAACAATTTTTAAACAGTAGCAACAAAAAAATATAAAATACCTAGAAATAAATGAACAGGATGTGAAAAGACTTCTGCTTTTGGCCATGAGGGACTAGTAGAGACCAGACCTAGTCTCTCAGCTGAAGCAATTAAGAAAAACTGGAGAAAATATATGAAACAACAGTTTTCAAGATTCTGGGCATGAAGCAACAAAGGAGGAATCTCTGAACAATGGGAAACAAAGGAGGTGACGCTTAAGATTACCCCAGCTTGTTTTCTTGAGTTTCCAGATGACGGTGAAGAGAACCATCTGGAACCCAGAGGACTCTAAGCTGAGAAGATGAGTTGGGGACACCAAAGTGGCTAGGGTTTGCAGGACAGACTATTGGATGGGAGGGAGCTACACTGACAGAAAACTCAGAGGGGTCCCCTCAAGTACTCAACAGAATGTTGAATAAAGAAATAAATGTGGGGGCTCCTGGGTGGCTCAGTCAGTTAGGCCTCTGCCTTCGGTTCAAGTCATGATCCCAGGGTCCTGGGACTGAGCCACACGTTGGGCTCCCTGCTCTGCGGGAAGCCTGTTTCTCCCTCTCCCACTCCCTCTGCTTGTGTTCCCTCTCTCGCGTCTCTCTCTCTCCCTGTCAAATAAATAAATAAAATCTTAAAAAAAAATAAATGTGAAAGGCAAAACTTTCATAAAGGGAAAGATTGATAAATGTGACTTCCTTAAAATGAACGGTATGTTCAACAAGACCCAGCATAGAGAGAAAAGACAAGACACAAAATGGGTGAAGCTATTAGCTACATCCATTAACAACACCTAGAATATAAAAAGAATCCCTACAACTCAAGAAGAAAAAGACAACCCAATAGAAATCGGGGCAAAAGAAACAAACAGGGATTTTGCAAAAGAGAAAACTCAGATGGCCAGTAAACACATGAAAGATGCTCAGTGTCCTTGGTGGTCTGGAAGTAAAAATTAGGATCATAATGAGAAACCACTTAAAACTACTCCATTATCCCAAGAAGTCTTGAGCATGAAAAACAATAGGAACTCTGATACATCGCCGCTGGGAGTGAAGACTGATGTGACCATCTAAGAAAATAATTCTAATTTACACACCCCCTGTGCTCCAGCAATCCCACATCTATGTCAAAGACCCTAGGGAGAGGGCGGGGATGGCTCAGTCGGTTAAGCGTCTTGACTCTTGATTTTGGCTCAGGTCAGGACCTCACGGTTGTGAGACTGCACCCCACCCCACGTGGGGCTCCCCGCACAGCATGGAGTCTGCTTGAGATCCCTCCCACCCAGGCTCACAAGGGTGCCTGCACTCGGGGGCCCACTCTCTGAAAATAAAGAAAATTAAGAAAAAAAAGACCCTAGAGAGACTTCTCAAATACTTGCTTCAGGACATACTTAACAAGACTATTCAAGACAATATTGTTTATAATTGCAAAAATAAAACCAGGGAATGGTACCAATGTGCACAGTAGGAAAATGGATATATTATGGTAACTCAAAACAGGAAAAATAATAGAACAAACACATAACAAGCATGATTCTTAGAAATTATATTCAGTGAAAAAAGTTAAGCCGCAGAGGACTATATACAATATAACACCATTGTATAAAGTTCAAATACAAGGGGACATGTTTAGGCCAATGTGTGTAGGTGGTTGTGGTGAAAAAAAAAGAAAGGAAGGAATGATCACTACAACAATCAAGAAGATTAGTTACCTCTGGGGTAGAGTTCTCTCTATAGAAAAGGATCCAGAATGGTTTCTAGTAAACTTCTGGTTCTTAAATGAGGCCACAGGTGGCTCATTGTATTATTAAGCTTT